TTTCTCTATCTCTCTCAGAAATAAATAAAAACATTAAAACATTTTTTAAATAAACAAACATTAAAAAAATTAAAAAAGAAAGAATGAGAACCTAAAAGACAACCAAAAGGGACAAGCACAAGGTATCAAACAACAGGATAGAGAACTTTCCAAACAGAGGAAATAGCTAATACAGAGAGCCTAAGTGAAACAAAATTGTGTCTTAAGCAAACAAAGCAAGCCAACATGGCTGAAGAGCAGTGGGGGAGGAATGGAGTATTCCATGAGAAGATTACAGAGGCAGGCAACCGCCAGGTACCCTGGGGTCACTCAAAGGAAGGGACTGTGGATTTTATGCTTAAAGGTAATAAATGATGACATGAAAGTGACATGATCTTACTTTTATGTTTAGAAGAATCTACACTGCTGGATGGAAAACACTGTAGTAAGACAAAAATGTGAATTCTTTCCAAGCTATTTCAGCAGTTTAGATGAAAGTGGCTTAAACTAGGGAGGCAGGAGTATAGGTGGAGAAAAATAGATTCTGGTATACATTTCTAGAAATTGAATACAAAGGATTTACAAATGAACTGAATAAAAAAGATGAAGGAAAAAGGAATAACCTTTGTATTTTTAGCTTGAACAGCTAGAAGAATAATGGTTTAGTTTACTGAGAAAAACAAGATTAGGGGAGGTACAAGTTTGGGTTAGGAACAGGAGTTAGAAATAAGAGTACAGTTTTGGTCAGATTTCATTTGAGAGTCCCATCATATACCCATTTGGAAATGTTCAGCAGGCACCTGGATCAAAATCAGGAATTCTGGAAGTCCCTCATAACCCTTTTCTTGCTTCGTTAGAAGACTGAAGATACAGGGGTGCCTGGGTGGCTCAGTCGGTTAAGCGTCCGGCTTTGGCTCAGGTCATGATCTCGCGGTTCGTGGGTTCAAGCCCCGTGTCAGGCACTGTGCTGGCAGCTAGCTCAGAGCCTGGAGACTGTTTCAGATTCTGTATCTCCCTCTCTCCTCTGACCCCCCCTCTGTTCATGCTCTCTCTCTCTCAGAAATAAATAAAACATTAAAAATTTTTTAAAAAAAGACTGAAGATACAGAAAATATCAAGAGGAAAATTGATTTTAGAATGCACAATGTGAGTATTCTGTAACAATCTAAAACAGTGAGACAAGACCTTGTACTCCTCATGAAACTATTTCACTTACAGAATCTAAAGCATCATCTCTGCTGAGGATAATAATACAGAAAGAAAGTAAGCTTTAAGGTCAATGAGATTCATGCCAAGAGAGTTAAGCCATATCATATGGCCTCTATTTCTTAAATCTTGTAAGATTATAGGGCAGGACCTATTAAGAAGAGATCAGAGCCCCCAGCAGGATACAATTTACAAGTGTTTCTACAAGTTCCATCCTAGTTGAAGGGAATCCATTGCATACCCAATAGAAGACAAAAATAAACCCTAACTGTACATAAAATAATGACTGTTCTCCCTGCTGGCGGACAGGAGTTTCCATGGAAACTATCACAAAGAATTTCTTTAGATTTGTGATTATTGACAAAAACAAAATAGAGTCAAATGAGAACTAGATTTTGGGTAATTTGATTCAAGCTAATTGTCTTTTAGTATGACAAGTTTCCTTAATCAAATGGCTACTTAGAGAGTAGATATCAAAATGAGAGAAAAGAGACAAGCAACCTTATTTCTTTCTGTATAAGTCTTACTCTTAAATACCTATCAGCAATATTGTAAAAGACTATGTTGGGGAAGATAAGAACTAAAATTTATTGGGGAACCCCAGTCGGTTGAGTGTCCCACTTCAGTTCAGGCCATGATCTCACCATCTGTGAGTTCGAGCCCTACGTCGGTCTCTGTGCTGACAGCTCAGAGCTTGGAGCCTGCTTCTGATTCTGTGTCTCCCCTTCTCTCTGCCCTTCTCCCACTAGAACTCTCTCTCTTTCTCTCAAAAATAAATAAACATTAAAATATATTTTAAAAAAAAAACTAAAATTCATTGGGCACCTACTAAATATCAAGTGCTTTGCATATAACATTTTATTTGTCTTCACAATACTCCTTTCAGGTAGGTTTTATTATACTTAAGTTTTATAGAGGAAGAAGCCAGTTCTCAAAGATGTAGAGTAACTTGTTCAAGATCAAATAGATGGTAAACAACAGAGCCAGGAGGAGATTCAGGTTTAGCTGAACACAAAATGTATACTCTTTCCTTAGGCTTTGAAAAGGGGCTAAAACCCACAATGGTCCAGGAGCCCAAGCCTATGGTCTCTTTAAGCCATAAGACTCTTATTGATTAACTGACTATTAAACTTATTGATTAACTGACTATTAAATTAGGCTGAAAACAAGGCTATTATATAATGTGTAAAAAGAAGACAGTGTTAGATGTGTAAAATAAAGGGTTCAGTTATGCATTGAATATACAATAAAACTTTACCAGGTATTCACATGTCATCAAATCAAATTAATAAAAAGGAAATTAAACAAAGAACCCAAAAAGAAATAAGTAAAGGAAAGAAGTAGACGCTAATAAATTTAAGAAGCCAAGATAGAGATATGATACTTCATTTTAAGGAGTAACTTTTAAAATTATCATTTAAGAATAAAAGTAAAAATGCCAAGACATTTCTTAGCTTATAACAATTAACAGAAATAATTTAACTGCAATACCCATGTGACTGCTATTGCTGCCTAGCTCTGTTAACCTAACATACTGTGTAACTGTAGTAGTCACATGAAAACTGGAGGCAATCTGAGGTACTGCCTGCTACACTCCTTCCCTAATTAGTCAACTTATTTTTGTTATGGAATTTGCCTATAAATTCATTGTCTTGTACATTTTACTCCAAGATTCTTTAAAGAGAAGCATGGACTCCACATATCTCTTTAGATTTGAGCAGTCAAAACAAAAGAAATTCAACCAAAGCACATACTGACACATTAGCAGTCAGAGCACTATTTAACAAGCATGCACACAATGCAGGACACACACTAAATCCAGTGAAGAGCAGAAAGCAAGACAAAATAGTAGAAATAAATCCAAGAGGAATAAAGAGGGTTACAATGCATAAAACAATCTAGGTACACTAGAAGTTAATTTTCTAAAATCAAGGTACTAGCTTCCATTTTTGCTAATACTGGATAGTGTCTAGCCAAAAGTACCAGGGAAAAGCTCAGCTGTCAACCGAGAACATCCTTTTAAATAACTGTTAAGTGAAATCATTCCTTAAAATACTCTCCTACAATAATAATGTCCAAAGAATTATAACAGAAGAAAACAAATCAATTTCAATGCAATATATCTCAATTAGTAAATAAACTATAAATGCAAACCACTCTATGTATTCATTTTAACAGATAAAAGATTTAAGGACTTTTTAGAGTCATTACTAAGTTTTGGTTAGAGGGACGCCCCCCAAAACGGTGTACGTGTTGAAAGCAATTTATAAGAAATCAGTTCCTTAAGATGGCTTAAGACTATGAAGTTTGGTATATTTCTATTTTGTTTCTTCGTGCATTCTGTTTCAACTTAATAAGATGTTACTGGAAACGCTTCTTGTGTATGCCTTCAAATACTCTATATAATGTTAAAGTACAGTTCTTAGGTTTTGAAATTTTCAGGACTGCTGATGCATAAAAGCATAGCTTTAGTATTCTATTTCCCTATAACTGTTAGATGACTTTGCTAGTGCTGGAAACCCACCAAGCCCTTATTAGGAAAGGCAAGATGGAAAACAGAGTCTGGTGCTTAAAATACAGTAAACACAGTTCAAAGATATATGTCCTCTTACTCTCTCTTAGTTCAAAGATTAAATCAGAAATCAATCGGCAATGTTAGATATACTATTTTGTTATTTAGCAGATGACAACTGAAGACAAGGATCATTTTTGTCCTTTAACAAAAGCTTTCCTTTCTATATAATTGTGATTCTTCTTTAAGCTCTTTCCTACTTCATGATTTTCCTCTTCAATCTTGCCAAAACAGGATTTAAATCTAAATGGAAATAAAGGGGGAACCACTGTCAAGATTTACACTGGCTCATCCCACTTTTACCTGTTAATGAGTCCTGAGGCTTAAAATGACATAAAGCAGCCTCTTGCCAACAGGTTTCTCCCAGAATGTTCATGCAATGAACAGGTTTTAAATGGTCAAAGTGGGTCACAACCTACAGAAAAAAGCCTTAAAGACTAGTCTTCACTTTAGCTCTATGGCCACTAAACAAAGGCCTTTTCTTCCTCTCTAAAGGAAGACTAGACACATCAAAAGACCTGAGTTCCTAACAAGAATACAAACGTAGTCTCTCTTGGATGCATGAAACTTCCTTGAAATTGTTTTCAAAATCCTGGGCACTCAGCAGGGGAGCAATCAGCTTTCATCCAGCTTGCAAAGGGTCTCATTAACATGACAGTCCAAGTGACAGTCTAAGAGCCATTGTGCAAACGTCGCTGCCAGCCCTTATACCAAAAAGCCATGGGGTGGAAGGCAAAGCAATGGCCTTGAAACCCCCCAGTTTGGAGACCTGGGGCAAACTGCTTCACCTTTGTGTGCTTCTATTTCCTATCTATGAAATTGTATATAAAAATACCTCTTTCACAGGGAGTTGATAAAAAGTAAATAATTGTAACACTTTCCAAAAACTGCTAATTTATAAAAGTTATCTCCATGATGCAAAAAGACAACAATCACTTTCAGAAGCTGTCTAAGTGCCCATTTTACAACTGAGGTCCCAGGTACTAGGGAATTAGCCCTGGTCAAACAGAGCTGATGTAAGGACAGAGTCTCCACTTTGCACTTTTCATGCCCTACACAACACCACTACAGGTCATATTCAACATACAGTACAAACCTGAGCCTAGTAACAGCAGAATTGGTGCTCAGGCTTGGGACCACCAAAGAGAAAATAAAACCAAAATGACATATATGGTGACATCAACCTTCAGAAACAAAGATATTTAAAATTACCAAGTGACCCTTTTGGGGTCAACACACTTACCAGACCTTAAGAAAGCAGGTGGAGAAGAGACGATGGCATCAGGTGAGCTGGCCATTTCAAACTGTTGACTCTAATCATAAGCGTCGAAGGCTAAACTACAGCAATTTTCAAAACTGTTTAGTGAAGGTTAGAAGCAATCAGCATTAGATTAATTGAAAGCAGTGTGAGCAGTTATTAACATGATGCAGTGTGCAACAAAGGCAATAATTGAGGTTCATTATAATTTTATTTTCTTTTTAATGACTTGAAAATTTGATTTTCTTTGCTTTGATAAATTATATTTGCTTATATGGATGAGGCAGGAAATATATAATATCCACTTATTAACATTACATAAGAGTAACATCCTCTTGAGCAGTGAACTGACTATGCTACTATGTAACAATGCTCAGAACTTTGCAGTGGCATCTATATTGGAGTCAGGTTACCCCAAGTTTCAAACTAAGCTCAGTTTACATATTCTTCTAAAAATAAGAAACAGAATAAGATTGGTTGTTTTCAATGACATAGGAAGTCAAGGATTCATTCAAGAAACTATACAGTCATCACCTTACAGAGTTAGAACCTGAAACCTCAATTAATTTGAATGACTTCAAATGGTATCTATCTTTTACTACAATGATAGAAACTATACAGGAACATCCAACATTTATTTATACTATGCACTTAACCACTTTGTACACGAAACTGGACTTAAGTGACTGCATTAGACAAAAGTTAAAATTTTAATTTTTTTTCTCACTTAAGAAAGAGAAGGTAGGTTTTCAAAGCTTACTGTAATGACATGCAATTCAGAGAATATAAAAACTGGATAAGAAAATAAATCCTATATGCTTATTATGAGGAAGAGAAATGCTGTAAAATAGATGCGGAGGGCAGAAAACCGTAAGAAAACTCAGGTTACTCTCTTTGACCAGATATTATAAATCCAATTCCCTTTAGAGCTCAAATAAACACATTGTTAGCAGTCAATCAATACTTCAATATGACACAAAAATTTTAAGAAGTGTGAAACACAAATATATGTGACTATCCAAGTAACTGTATTTACTCTGAAATGTACTAAGGAATACGTGTTTAAAAATTCTCTCATATTTCTGTGATAGTTTTGATAAAATCTAAGTAAATAAATGCAAGACTTTGTAAATAAGGTATAAAAAATAATGGTTTTAAGCGACAAAGATTGGATGAACTCCTGTATGATATATGAAATTAGATACTTTATTCAAATTTTAAAAAGGCAAACTACACAAGAAAAGGACAACCAAGAACTTCATAAATTAGAAAAACACCAAACATAATGGGGGCATATTAGATGAGGAAAAAACCCTCCAGGGATCAATGCAAATGCAGAATTAGTTTTCCTAGCGCTATGCCTTTCCTTAACATTAGCATCTGTCAACACTGACATATAGTAATGTCAATCCTTTAAAAGAGATTAATTGAACACTTGTCATTCCACCATCTTTTTTGTTTTATAATAAACACACATTTAGCTCAAGATTATATACAGCCAGCCAGAAATATGGGAAGTTTCCATCCTGTCTCTCAGAGGACTGATCGGCCACAAGTGCTCACTGCAAAGTCGTGACTTTGCAATTTGAACAAGTCAGTTCAGGACACTTTCAACCGTAGTAACTGCCTGCGCAGCGTCTTCTAACCTCGGTGGCTTTGGATTTGGGAGGCACAACTGGGAACTATGTGTCCCTGGGCCACCTGCTCAGGGAAGGGGCCCTGCTCCCTCCAGAGCCCTTAAGCACACTCAACACGACCCCTTCATAGCCTAAGGCCCTGTCTCCACTCAATTTCTGCCACATGGTAATTGGCTAGGGCTCGGAACTTGTGAAGAGTGTAAAAGGGAGATAGAAGACAACACTTTTCTGCTGCCAGTCTTCTAGGCCCAGGTCATAATCACATCTAAGAATGAAGCTGTTTGATTTTTGAGGGAGGACCAACTGTCTTTCCCAGGAACCTGGCAGCTGCCTGATTTCTAAAGAGTAGAACTCCGGTTTTAGTGGACACCACCACCTACTTTCTGAGCGAAACACACACGAAACAGCGTTGGGGGAAAACACATGTAGTAAAGTCGGGACCACCACCAATTTGGGAGATGGGGATAAACGTGAAGAGGGCCAGGACCGCAGTCGGCTTTGTAAGGGGAAACACGCGGGCACAGGTTAAACTCCAGGACCCCCACCAGCCTCCCGCCCAAGGTGCTTGAAGGGGGAGCACCACCCTGGTGCGGGGGAGGGTATGACGCCCCAGCCAGCCAAACCTGAGCGCTTGGCCCGGGCTCTTCGCTCCAACACCTTCCAGTTCCCTTCAGCCATGAGCCCCGCCGCCCCCACCATCTCTCTCAGGCCTGCAGCCTTTGCCACCGCCCCCAAGGCAGACTGTCAGCTCCGCCCAGCCGGCCCCGCCCCCCCCCCCGCGCGACACTGTCGGGAGACGCGCCGGCCGGAAGTGAGCGCAAGAGCGATTTTCTACTCAGCTTCACGGCTTTCCAAGCGTCGGAGGTGTACCTCTAAGGGAAACTGAGAGGGGAGCCGGTGGCGGCTCGTACGGGCGGCGAGGCTGTGCTCTTTCTCTCTCGGTCGGCAGCACGGTGCTTTCCGGCTGCCGTCAAGCGCGGCACTGGGCCGGCGGGCGGGGGCCGAGGGGCTGCCATGGCGGCGGCGGGCCGGCTGCCGACCTCCTGGGCGCTGCTGGCGCCGCTGCTTGGGGGGCTCGCACTGCTGGCAGTCGGGCCGGTCCCGGCGCGGGCGCTGCACAACGTCACGGCCGAGCTCTTTGGGGCCGAGGCCTGGGGCACCCTGGCGGCCTTCGGAGACCTCAACTCCGACAAGCAGACGGACCTCTTCGTGCTGCGGGAAAGTCAGTGCTTGCCCGGCCCTCCCTCTGTCCGCTGTCCCTGTGCCCCTCCTGGTGTACCCAACACCCTTAGCCCGGATGGCCGGTCCTCCTGCATTTCCCAGCCCTTCTCTCCCAATCCTTTCTCTCCCTTCTCCAGCATCCGTTGCAGCTTGCCCATTCTCTCCATCTTTTCCAGCTTCTTGTCCTGGCCTGACCACTCCACGGTTTTATTTACCGGCCTAAGTCCTGGAAACACCCCAGGTTTTTTTTCCTGAGCAGCCTTAGGCCTTCACCCACATACCCCACCTCCCCATGAAATAACCTGCCTTCCAAAGTCCTTCCTGATTCCCAGGAGCCTTTGTACCTTGCCTCTGCGTTCCCTCCCAAAATCCTTTCATTCCTTCCTGCTTTACTTCTTCAATCCTCCTTCCCCTTTGATGAACTGGAAAAGATGCAGCTTGACAATGTCTTCTCATAGGGGATTTTACCTACCTCGTTTACCTTATTATTCACCTGCCCTCTCCCTTTTTCAGCGTCCCAGCTTTCTTTGAAGCAACTCCCCATTGCCCAACGCCCTAAACACTCCACAGCTTACACAAGCAATTTGCAGGGATCACTGATAAACTCAGTGTCTCCTTGGGAAAAGATCCCAAACTGCAGATTCTTCTCCCTCATGAGCTGTCTGGTCTTTTATATGCACCTGATCTTTTCCTCGCTTTGGTCACCCACCATGGCTTCCAAATCTCTGCCCTCGTCAACTCGAGGTTCTTAGGAGTTCTTTGCTTTAACTAAACATCACTAAACAAACCTTACTGTAAATCTTGATGCTGAGAATGGGTATTAGAGGGTCTTAGCATTCTTTTGAGTATCTACAAAACTGGGTAGGTCAAGGGCATGAAGGAAGGAGGTGAAGCAGGTTTATATAGAACTTAACTAGCAGGATATTGGCCTAGGTTTCTTGGGCTCTTGCCAGGATACCAGAGCCCCCTGTGAACCCTATATATTTTTCCTTTCTTTGTATGACTACGTATCTGTTACAAGAAAGGTGCACACTGCCAAACTCCTAGCTACTTCATTCAAACTGGATACAGAGACTCTCCTCTTAACTTTAAAAATGGCTTGGGTTTAATTAAAGAATTTCAAAAGTCTGTTCCAATGATTTCTCCTGAATGCATCCAGTGAGTTCCAAGGATGCACACCAACCTGGGGAGTAGTTCCATAGGACCCACAAGAGGAAGGTCTTGGAGGATTCATCTTTTTCTTCTTAAGTATGTAATCATGTCCTTGTTACTAGTCAGATACCTATAGTAGGAGATCCTGTGTCCTTGGTGCGATGCATCTGCCTGATAAACTAAACAGCTTATAAGGAGTCATGTTATTGGAGAAACAAGGCTTAACATGTGCTATAGTTAAAAGGCTTGTTCATTACATGATTTTTTTTTGAGTCAACTGACCTGATTCCTGGCAAAAGCCATTGGTTTCGGTTTGTTCTGACCAACTGTTCAGTCTTCCTATTTCTCTGCTACTTTTTAAATACTGAATTTGTGATATATTAGGTATCCCCATTCTATTAGACAAGTAGGACTCACCTGGAGAGGGCAGAGGAACTAGAGTAAAATAAAAGTGTTTTTGTTAAGAACAGCACCCAGAAAGCTTTTTGTAACCACTGATTGGAAGTGTTACCTAGAAACTCTTCTCTAATATCATATATTCGCTTCTTTTAGGGAATGATTTAATCGTCTTTTTGGCAGACCAGAACGCACCCTATTTTAAACCCAAAGTAAAAGTATCCTTGAAGTAAGTACAAATGTATCTGTTCCTATAAAAACAATCATTACTGTAATGATTGATATGCAAAAGCTAGTTGGATTGTTTTTGAAATCAATTTTACTTAACTGTGTTGATACAAAACCACTTGTTACCCAGGATGAGTAGCAAGTAATTTGTTAGGAAAAATAGTGAATATACCAAAGTTTAAAAGTCATTTATTTAAAAAATAAATAAATAAATTTGAGTAGATCACATCTGTTCCTGCATACACACCCTTCATTCTCTAGCAATGTAGTACCCCTTCTTGAATGTGTTGGGGGTTGCCCTTCATCCCAAGTGTACCCATGGGAGCACACGCTTCTCAGGTCAACTATGTATTGAGGGTGAAAGGGGTGGCTTCATTTGCACTGTGGAAAAAGTGTTCTAATTTTTTTTTTTTTGTTTATTGACTGGTGGGTAATGAGTTTTTTAAGGTTTATTTTGAAGGAACTTAAACCAAGCAGAATTTTTTAAATGTTCAAATAATCGTTCATTCTTTTATATGACTGGCATTGTCTGAAACTCAGTGACCTTCTTCAGTAGTGAGCCAGCACAGTTTTGAAACATCAAGAAGCAAGGATTGATTGCTGGATGGTTCAAGGGAAAAGAAATGAGTTAGTGGATACTAAGGTGGAAGCTATCAGAAAGTTACAAAATTTCAGTGACCTTCAGAAAAATTTAGGCGAGGGCTTTCAAGTGTGGGGACACAGGGTTAACAAGAGGGCAGTAAGCATGTTGTGAAGAGGAGGTGGAAAGATTTACCTAACAGAAGTGTAGGGTATATGTTGGAGAGTTATGGACCAAGAATATGAGATTAGGGCAGACTAGGAACCTTCATAAATATCGGAAAGAGTTTGAACTCAATCCCAGGAGAAGTGGGAAATCATTATAGGTCATGGTTTAAAGGAGAGATTTAAACAGTATTTTAAGTTGACTTACTTGTTAATCATGTGCAGGAGAATAGTTTTATAGAAAGATCAGAGATTACTTAGGAAATGGTTTTTAAAAAAATATTTAAGTTTCTTTGTGGGGTAATAACTGCTCAGAGTCTACAAATGTTTAAACTGAGACTTATGTTTTTAAAAAAAAATGGCCTTAAGTTAGAACATTGAAAGGAAAGTTTTAAGTGGACAAATAGGAATTTATCCCTCTTGAAAAATTTTCCTAGGTAGCAGATATCAGCATACTTGGCATGGGGTGGGAACAGAAAGATAAATATTATATACAAGAAATGACCTGCTTAAGAATGATTTTTCTTGGAAAGAAATGTTTGAACTACGTAAGGACTAGGATTTCACTAAGTTAAAAAAAAAATCCCAATTCATTTCATTTTTCTTGATTAACAAATGCAGTGTTGTTTTATATACTGTTAAAATTTAGAAACTTGTTTTTTTAAAAAATATATTTAGAATATTTTCAAAGTATATGGAAAGTATATGGGGCTTCTAGGTGACTCAGTCAGTTAAGCATTTGATTCTTGGTTTTGGCTCAGGTTCATGGGTTCAAGCTCCACTTTGGGCTCGGTGGTGACAGCATGAGCCTACATGGGATTCTCTCTTGTTCCCTGCCCCCCCACTTCTCTCTCTCAAAAAATGAAAAGAATATTTTTCAAAGTATAAATAACTCTCCTTCACTCTTTTCTTCCCCCACTCCCCTATTCCTTTCTCAGATGCAACCACTTTTAAAAACTTCAGCTATTTTTTTTTTTGGTGCTTATTTCCATATTTTAAAATAAGCTTTTAAACTGTAATTTCTTCAGTAATTATCTTCATCTCTTGGATTTTTGTTAGCATAGATGAGGGTTTACCGTCTTTAAATTATCTCCATCTCAATTATCATTATATCATATTTTTAGTTAAATCAGTAAACATTGTTTACATTTTGACCATGTAGATTCTGTGTACTTTAGAACCAAGAAGCATACAGTATTTCATTAAAAAAATTTTTTTTAATGTTATTTATTTTTGAGAGAGAGAGAGAGAGACACAGAAGCAGGCTCCGGGCTCTGAGCTGTCAGTACAGAGGCCAATGGGCTCGAACTCATAGACCACAAGATCATGACCTAAGCTGAAGTCAGACACCCAACTGACTGAGCCACCCAGGAGCCCCCAGTATTTCATTTCTTTAGCATTTTTCCTCCTGCAGTAAATGGTTGCTTTAAAAAAAAAAAATCAATTGCAGGGACGCCTGGGTGTCTCAATCGGTTGAGCCTCTGACTCTTGATTTTGGCTCAGCTGATGATCTCACTATACCTGGGATGGAGCCCTGAGTTGGGCTCCATGCTGACAGGAGGAGCCTGCTTGGACTTCTCTTTCTCCCTTTCTCTCCTGCTCATGTGCACAGTCACACTCCTTTCTCTCTCTCAAAATAAATAAACTTAAGAAAACTCAATTGCATAGTTTTCTGTGTACATATCCTTAATTTCTTGGTAGATGTTGCCTCATATTGGCTAAATACCTATTGTACATTTTTATTTTCCCCTTTGAGTCCTGTATACTTCTACCAATCAGAGTTCATTCTTAAGCCTTCTGCAAGATTAGTATTTGGAGACTTTCCCTTTGCTTTTCTTTGTTGGATCCCTCTTTCTTGGATTCTGTGCCATTTTATTCTTACCTTCTTTCTTTACTTCCCTGGAATGTATTCTTCAGGAAATTCCTGAGATAGAATATATGGTATGTCCTTTAATGTCCCCC